ACCAGAAGAATGGACTGCTGAGAAGCAGGGGTAAATGTGGAGGAGTGGTCCATAGTTAGAATAGGACAAATACCAGATTAGTCCTGGGCTCTCTCTTTTATGTCTTACATGGAAAGGACACTCCTAGTCCTAGTGCCTCCTATTGGGCAGCTGTTTCTTTGTGGCAGGGCTGGTTCCTCTTCTGCTGGGTCCTGGCAGAGCTGAAGCACAGCTGGGCCAGCACAGTCGGCAGCAGTAGGAGTGCTGTTGGCCAGGACTCTGCCTGGAGATGGGTATAAAACAGAGCAGACTCGTTGTAAAGGCCAAGTGGAGCAGACCTGCCCAGGAGTCAGTGGCACTCGGTTGTGAGAGAGTTTCCCATGCTCTGGGGTCTAAACTAGCATCCTGCCCCTTGACAGTAGGTATAATGAGGAGAAGTGGGCTCCGGGCCTAGAAGGGCATGTGCGAGGTTTTCTTAATGGGGACACCCTCTGGGGCCTCAGTGAGGCAAGGAACAAAGGGCCTGGATTCCCTTGGTCTAGGAGCAGTATTTCCTCTGGAAAGTTGGTGAATGAGGACCTTGTATAGAGGGTATCTTGGGGTCAAAGATGAGCTGGGACCTGGCCTGCAGAGGAAGTATTTGGGAGGCTGTCCTGCCTGTGGTGCAGCAGAGCAGTGTTACCCTTAGGAGATGGGAAGGTGGTCCTTTATAACTGGAAGACAGAGCCAAGCTCAGGGTCAGTGCTCATGAAGGATGAAGCTGAGGCCTTGGCTGGAAGGCTGAGGCAGCTCTGTTGTGATGGGAACAGAGCTGAGTTCCAGAAAGGGGCATCCTCCTTCTTCTCTGTTTACTATGGTGAAATGTAGGATGATGCCCTCAGGAGGGTGTGGTTATTTCAGGTCAGGAGCCCCAGAACCCCACAGGTGGTCCTGAAGCCTGGAAATGGAAGCAGTGCTCATCAGTGGCCCTGGCATGTACTGACATGTACTCATCAGTGGCCCTGGCATGTGGTACCTGGCCTGGGCAAGAAGGAGCTGGTACAACTGTGACCACTTCCAGGATTTTGGCTGTGCCTTGAGTGGGGCTTTCCCATAGTCTGAAAGGGGTGTCTCTACCCCTCCACACCTGCTTGGCTTGGCTGGGTGGTTGGCTGCATAGATCTACAGCTAGGTTGGGTGGTGGAAACCTTAGACAGGTTAGCCAGCAGATTCAAGTGGGCTCTACAGGGCTGGGAATAGCCAGTTAGCTGGGAGGAGTAGACCTAGGCTGGTACACAGTGTTGATTCGTGTCCCAGGTCTTTGGGTGATGCCCAGAAGATACCAGAGCCAGTAGAGTCTCCATATGAAGTAGCTATGGGTGCTTCTCTAACAGTATGTTATGTATACCCTTCATCTCCTACCTGCCAGCCAGTCTGTTCTGCTGTTTAGCACACTGGGTATGGGCCAAGGAGATTCTCAGTGAAGTTTCAAGATGAAGCCAGAGAAGGGGTAGGCAAACCCAGCAGCAAAGTGAAGGCAAGTCAAGGAAGAGCTCAGGCTCAAGGGTGAGGGGTGGTTGGCAGAGAACCCATAGAAGGGTTATACTGTAGGCCCTGTTTGGAACTGGGGTACATGGAACCCAGCAGGAACCCAGGCTTTTCTTTGCAAGGTTGCAAGAGTCCTGGTCAGTGTGCTTGAGTAGGTGAAAGCAAATTGAACCAGGGTGAGGGAGTATGGAAGGTAGGAAGGAGTTAAAAGGCCAGGGTTCTACCCTGGCCCTACTACTCATATGAGCCTCTTCTTCACTTCTCTGGGACTCAGTTTCCCTACTGGAAATGACAGCTGAGTTCGAAAGTGTCTGCAAGATCTGGCCAAGCATTCCAATTCTGCAGTTTGTTCTAGGAGCTATATGGAGTGGTCTCTTTGTAAGCACCGCCTTTGCCTCCCTCAGTCTTGACCTCTTGAGTTCCAAAGTGTGGAGACAGGTTAGGATCCTCTCAGATTACTGCTGCCCTTATGTTAGAGCTTGACAGAGGCCCACATCTCAACAGTGGAGAGACAAATCTGTTTACCATATTGAAAAACCTAAAGAATTGCTCTCCTGAATGAGCAGCCTCTGCTGGCCCCAGCTGAGTAAGTGCTCACCTCTGACAGCCCAGCAGTCAGTTCAGATGCCCTCAGTTACCTTTTTAACTAGTTTCCCAAAAAACAAAGAAACCCAGACCCAGGCTGGGGAGCACAGCCACCCACCTTCTCAGCTCCAAACCACCTTGTCACAGATGGCAGCTTCTTCAGCTGCAAGCTCCTCAAACAAAGCCCATACATTACTGCCAGATCCAGCTTGCAATCTTTCATTCTGTCCAAAGTAGCAAATCTGTTTACCACATTGAAAAGCCAGAGGAGTTGCAAAAAAATGGTGGAGAGAAAAAGTTGTTTTGTGAATTATAAAATGTGAGCTTGAATTTTTTACCATGTGATTCATTTCTGTATCTCCAGAATGGAAAACAGAAGATAGTCAGGATACATGTGTGTTGAACATTTTAATTTTGAAAAGTTACAGAAGGAGTTTTATAGGTAAACCTTTTCCTCTGGATCTTAAGAGGAGGGAAAATTCGGTGCTTATTTTTCAAGAAAAAAAGTAGAGCCTGTTTCCAGCATGTTTTCTTACCTCCCCTGTGACAGGTGTGAACTTGAGTGAGAGATGAGAAAGGAATAGGTGTCCATGCTTTCTTTCTGTGCTCAGCTCCTAAGGGGCTCCGGGGCCGGGCTCCCATGGCACCAGTGGCGGTTCTTTGTCCCTGTGCAGTGCTGGAAGAAGCCACTAGGTGGGAGTCAGGGACAAATGCTGGGAAGTGAAATCCCAAAGAATGAGGTACAGCATGGGCTTTGTATGAGAAAACAACTTTTAATTTTTCTCTTTTAGACAAAGATAACATAAGCATCTCTCATTATTGAAACTGCTTAACTGCACCTGGGTCTGCTGGCAAAGATAATTCTTTGCCATTTTCCTTAGAAACAGTGGACAAAGGGCAGTCAAGGGAGGGCTCCACTGTTTAGGGTAGGGGAGAAGAGACAGGGCTGGTCCTGGGAGCATAGACCTGAGCTTCCCCTGTGGATATGAAGAAACCTCTCCAGATTTCTTGACTGCAGTGCCTTCTGCTGGGGTGCTAGTAGGATGGCCCTTTCCATTCCTGGGGGCATTTCCTAGCCCACAGTGTATGTCATGCCCTGCCCTAGAGAAGCTTCCTGTCCCCTGAGGGATTTTGAATGCCCTTTTCCTGGCACAGCAGCCAAGGGGGCCTTCAGCCACTGCAAATTTAGCAGTTTTAATTTTCCTGGATCTTGATCCCTGCCCCCTAAAGTAAATTTACCCTACTAAATTCTAACAATCCGGCTCCTTTCAGACCTGACCTAAAGAGACTATTTCAGCCTCTAAGAACCAATGTTTATAAATGACCAAGAATGTGCAAACACTGGTGAAAGAGCAAATAAATCCTTCCCCACTAAATTTCCTGCTTCAGGCCCAGAGGCCATGGTGGACGATGTTGCCAGGTTAGCATAACTTGAGGTCTGAGCATGTGGACAACCACTTACTCTCCACCCACAAAAGAAAAACCTGCCAGAGACACACTACCAAGAGCCTTCTGCCCTTTCAGGTACCTGCTAGCGGGCAGGCAGGCCTCCAGGGAATTTATGCTTCTAGGCAAGTTTGTTTAGTAATTAGGAGGTTTTTGTTTTTGTTTTTGTTTTTTGTTTGTTTGTTTGTTTGAGACAGAGTTTTACTCTTGTTGCCCAGGCTGGTATGCAGTGATATGATCTTGGCTCACTGCAGCCACTACCTCCCGGGTTCAAGCAGTTCTGCCTCAGCCTCCCAATTAGCTGGGATTGCAGTTGTGCACCCCCACGCCGGTCTAATTTTTGTATTTTTAGTAGAGACAGAGTTTCACCATGCTGACCAGGCTGGTCTTGAACTCCTGACCTCAGGTGATCCGCCCACACCTCGGCCTCCCAAAGTGCTGGGATTACAGGTATGAGCCACCATGCCCGGCCTTGAGGAACTTTTGAAAGCAGTTTCCTAACTTCTTACTCCTCCAAGTGTTGTCCTGGGACCAGTAGTACGAGCATCACCTGGGAGCTTGTCAGCAGTGCACAACAGCAGGCCCCATACCCAACCTACTGAACCAGAATCTGCATTTTTACTAGAACCCCCTCGGGTCCAGGCAGTTCATTCTGGATGGGGAAGCAGTTTTAACCCAGGGGTTAGCAAACCATGGCCCACACTTAGCCTGCTGCATATTTCTTACCCTCATCAGCTAAGAATAATTTTTACATTTTTCAAGACTGCAGAAAAATCACAAGAATGTTTTGAGATGGGAAAATAACATAAATTCACATTTTGGTGTTCATAAATAAAGTTTTACTAGAACACAGCCACACACTGGTTTTGGTGTTGGCTGTGGCTGCTTTTGCACTGCAAATGGGAGAGTTGAGTATGAGAGAGACTATATGGCCCACCAAACCCAAAATATTTACCATCTAGCCCTTTACAGGAAAAGCCTGGTGACCTTTGTCCTGATCTGTTTTGGAAGTGCGTTCTCCATGCTTGTGTTCTGTGGAGGCTTGAGCTGCAGTGGCCAGGACTTCCTCCACTGCGCTCTTCACTCCCTTCCCCCGCTTCTCCTTCTTACTAGCAGCGGGCCCACTGTGCACCATGTCTGTTGAAGAACACAAGTTTGTATCTGACTTATGAGGATTTATGAGGGAGTGTCCTAGCAGCTGCCACCCATGGCCCAGAGGTGAAGGCTCAGGGCTAAGCGGAGCCCAGGATGCCTGTAGGTGATAGGTCAGTGGAACGGCATGTGACCATGAGATTCCTCTCAGTTTACAGTTCTGCCTGATAAGATGCTGCTGACTTCTGGTAGGCAGCTGGAGTAACACATCAGGGGACCTCAGCTCCTTTTTCAGTCATTCCCTCAAGTACTTGGAATTCCAGCCAGGTAGGTGACAATCCTGGGGTTCTCTTCTAGACCTTAGGACAGGGGTGGAGCAAGCTATAGTGACTTTCCCCAGCAAACCTGACCACCCTGGCCTCTTAGCTGTGTTTTCACTCCCAGAACGCTCAGCCTCACAGTCTCCTGCCCTTTTCCCATAGCTGACTGCTGCATATTGCAGGCAGTAATGAGTCTGGTTGTAGGTGAGCAAAGTACTTCCAGGAAGGCCCTGGGGGCTGTTAGGTCACTGTAGTGACCCCTATTTGTGTACCCTTTGTGCTTCCTGAGGACTTCTGTCTTCAGGGATGGGTCCAGTGAGTCTGAGACGCCACCTCACAGGAGCAGTGTAATGGGAGCAGGAAGCCCAGGCACCCGAGCTCCCAATAATAAGGACAGCCTAGACCTTTGGGAGTAACTACCTAGGCCAAATAAAATCTGGGCCTCTAGCCTTTTGGGAGTCATGGACTGTTCTGATAATCTGACAACTCTTTTTCAGAGAAAGATTTGTGAATACAAATAGTGGTACTTTGTATATATTTGGTGAACATATTTAGGGGCTTTTCTGATCCCTGGAATTCCATCCGTAGATCAACTGAGGTGCCCTGGACAGGATGGACTTCTAGGGCAGTGGTGCAGCCATGGGTTTGCCTTGCCAGGCCAGCGTGATGAGGGAGCCACGACAGGGACCCAGCTGCCCCTGGGGGTGGGGTCAGTGAGGAGGTACCTTAGCTTCTCAATCCATCCCATTTCACTCAGCCCCTCCCGTTTTCCCCCTGCCAACCTGCTCCTAGGTCTTTTGGGGTGTTAATTTGTGATTTTTGAGTTGAATTACAATATAAGTAAAATGTACTTTGGTGTTTAAGGAAAAACAATGCTGAGGTAAGACTTGCTACTTGAGGATGCCATAAAAATGTCAAGAATTTAACTGCAGTTTATCTGGATTCTTCCCTACCTTCCTCCCTTTTCTGTCCCTTTCTCTCCCCCACTCCGCACCCCCCACCTTTGTTCATCACACATTGAGTTGAGCTAACAGAGGAAATGGGTCCCATCTTTTCCTCTTTGTGTCAAACATCTTTACCCTGGAGAAACAGACCTTCAAGTCTCTTTTCTTCAAGTAGAATTTTAGTCTTACTTTACCAGTCTTATCATTTGAGCCTTATTCTTTTATCCAAAAAATGTTTAAATTCATACTGTGTGCTAAGAATTATAGGCATGGAAGTAGGAGAAGTGAGTTGGAAATCAGACATACTTCTGACAGTCTGGCGCAGTAGGGGTGGTCTGGTGTGACAAGGTCAGTGATGAAGTAGAAGGGAACGCAGGTGCTCAGGAGGGGATAGAAGAGGGACACCTGAGTCACAGCTCTGTGTAAGCTGGGAGTGAGCAAGGCTGATGAGAGCAGCCATGTTGGCCACCTTTCTCTTTCCTCCTCTCTTGTACCAGAACCTAAGGGAGAGCACTGTGCTCATCCCAGGAGCGTGGGGGATTGTCTACTATCCTGTAGAGGCTGGAACTCTGCACCACCTCTCCCTATCCAGCTCCCAAATCAGCTTGTCTACCTCCTCTTCCTTGGAGTCCTAGATATACCTTTATTGCATACCATATGGTAATTCTTAACCCAAGGCAGGAAGTTTTTCGTTTGCCTTGGATGCGGGGAAAATGTGTATTGACTGGATGAATTTCTTTATGTGACTTATTCAGGCTTCTAGACAGAGATAAACCAACCTACTTACCCCTGTACCTTTAGAGATATTCTTCCTTGGCAACATCCTGCCATAGCGTGGGCAGGGAACCTGGACTGGGTGGGTCACACTGTGCTGTGGAGCTGGGCCAGAGGTAAGGAGCAAGGGGCTAGAGCTCAGTGCATGGGTAGCAAAGCCTGCTTTTCCTTTCTGGCCTCTGTCTGGGTGTGTCTCCAGGAATTTACTTCTCCCCTCATGCCAGCTGCTGGCTAGAGCTCTCCTCCTTGCTGCCTCTGTGATCTCTGTGGGCTGGCCCAGCCTGCTGGGGACTGTGCTGCCAGGCTTTGTTTCTACCCTTTTGGGCCCTGCTTCTGGCCCTGGTGGACATTGAAGCCATGCTGAGGGACATGCTGACACCCAATAGGGACTGCTCTTCAGACTGGGCGTTCCAGGAAACCCTGGAGGTGACCCCCAAGGGACCTGGGAAGGCCAGGGCAGTCACAAGATATGCATCTGCAAGTCCTTTGCCACAGCAGAGCTCAGGGCCTTGCATGTAACCACAATTCCCACCGCACCCACATCAAAGGTCACTTTCATAATCAGTCATAGCCAAAGGCCACACATTAAGGGCTGAGCAAGGGAGAAAAGCTGTTTTTAGCGGGAAGCTCTCAAAGGAGATGGGAATATGAGGAGGAGATGGGGGCTGGCATCTAGGGAGTGCTGGAGGGGCCACCTGGAGAGCCCGCATGTGACCTGCCCTGACAGGAGGAAAACAGCCACAGCTCCAGGTCTCCGTCAGCCTTTCCAAGGCCTCTGTCTACCCAGCACTGTTCCCTGCGTCTCATGGAAATGCACATGAAGCAGCCTCAACCTTTCCACCTCCTTGGTTTGTAAAGCAGGTAGTCCAGAGTGGGGGACAGCCAGAGAGGCAGGACCCTCCAGTCCTGGCCCCTGTCCAGAATGTGGCCCCTAGGGAGCCCCAGCTCGCGGCCAACAGCCCAGGGCCAGACTCCCCTGAGTTTGCAGCATTTGGTCTCTAATGGATGGTACCACCAGCGCCAAGGACAGCAAACGCTCTGTGCAGGGCCCATCGCACAGCAGGACCAAGAACCCAGACTGGAGCTGCTTCTGAATCTGCTCTTTTTTGGAAACAACAGGCTTTCCTCGGGGCACAGCCTGTCACTCGCCTGGAAAACGGGTAGGCGTGGGCTTCAGGGTGGGGGTCAGGCTGTGTGTGGGAACCAGCGAGCTCCTCCAAGAGCAGCACTTATTTTTAGTCTTCTCCCCAGTCCCAAATAAACTGAGAGCAGCTGGGAGCCCTGGGTAAATGCAGAGTGAAGCAGAGACAGGAAATCGGGGCTCTCAGTAATGAGTTCCAGCCACTCCAGAAGGGGGAAGCCAGACAAGGAATTTTCTTCAGGACTGTTTCCCTCTGGCAGGCTCCGGTATTATCACTGAGAACGGTCCCGTGTGTGTGCGCTTGTGTGTTGTGTGTACAACTCCTGTCCAAGTCTTCTTTTTCCCCTACCTTTGTGTTACATTTGATTTCTCCTCAGGGCTCTGAATCCCAGTCCTGGTGCGTGTGTGTGTGCGTGTATGTGTGTGTGTGTGTTTGTTGGGGTGGTCGGGGAGGACACTGGAGCAGCGGGCTCTTCTCTGAGTCGCTGTGTGTCTGAAACTGTCTAGGGAGAGGCTGAAGGACGCAGGCCAGGGAAGTGGGGAAATTTGAACACAGCTTGGAGTTCTTGAGTGGGGGAGGGGGCAGAGGCAAGGAAGAGGAGAGAACTTGGTCTCCAGCCAGAAAAAGGGCTTTTTCCACCAAGGCATCTAACTGCTGACATGGGTGCCCAGCATGGATGGGGACATTGATGTTTACAAGCATTTCTCGTGGCTGAAGAGGGTAAGTGACTGGCGGCTTTGTCTGGGTCTCCGTGGAGATGAGTGAGGGGGAGACGCTTTAGGGTGTTTTTGGGGCTGTGTGCGTGTGTGTGGTAGGGGGAGGTATTGTCCGGCAAAGCCCTGCTGTGGCCAAGTTCTTCATGAGAATCTAATTATAGACACCAGGGAGAAAACAGTCAGCTGTCTTTGTTTCTCCACTGACATTCTGGTGAATGAGCCTCTGTACAGAAAGGCAAGAATGGAGTGAGGAAAGTTGGTTATTTTAACTTTGGCACTTAAACAGTCAGAAGCTCCAGACACCATGACCAGAAAAATGTGCCCACCGCTTTTCAGTTTGAGGATGTAGGGAGGAAGCTGCTGCCTTTTTAAATGTACTGGGTTCGGAAGTTGTTTAACTCATTCTCACTGTGATGTTATCCGGTGGAGCACACATCTGCTATCAGCAGAATGAGCTTCTGCATTTCCGGAGGAAAGCTTTCAGGGAGTTCTCTTTTGAATGCTCTGAAGCTGAGGGTTTATGTTGCAAGTTGTTCATGCCCTTTCTTTAGAGGACAAACCTGAGTGTGTGGTATGAGCAAGGAATGAATGGACGTTGGGGGCTGGAGTAGCATCGTACTCCTAAGGCTGTTTCTTCTTTTGTGGCTGCCTTTAAATTGGCTAAGATAGGTATGAATTGATTTTCACACTAAGGGATTTTAGGCTGAATGTTTTTCAGAGGCAGGAATGGCAAAAGCAGCTGACAGGTTAGAAATTTGACATTGTAACTGCAGAAGGACAGAAGAGCCAGGAAGCATCCAGTTCAGAAGGGACATGCAGATGCCTGGACCTCGACTCCCAGACACTGGGCTGGCTGGCTTTTGTGTGAGTGCAGCAGCACTCCTTCAGCAAATCTTTACTGAGTTTGGGTACTGGGTGTATGGTAGTGAGCAAAATGGAACCAGTCTCTTGTGGATCTTCTACCTAATGCTGGAGATGTAGGTGAAACAGTCCCAGGAAATAAACCTCAGATTACAAACAATAAGTGTGCCTGGAGGAAGAACAGAAGACAAGGGACTGCTGTTTTGATGGACAAGGGGTGGGGGATTGGGGGGAGTGGTCAGGGAGTTTGAGAAAATTACACTTTGCTGAAAACTGAAAGAGCAGTAAGAATGAGTCAGGTGAAGAATGGGGTGAAAAACATTCCAGGTAAAGGGGATGATGTATGCAAAGGTCCTTAAGCAAGACAGAGTCTGCCAAGTGTCCAGATTGAGGGAGAGCTCGTGTGGCTGAGCACAGTGATGGCAGGCAGAGGTGGGCAGACGCCAGATCACTCAGGACAGTGAAGGCCACCGTAAGGCTTTTGGGCGACATGGTTTGTGTGCTGGGGGACTTGTAGCAGGGAAGTGACATGGGATACATTACGGCGGTCCAATTTGTATTTTAAGAAAATTACTCTAGCTGTGATGTGGTATATGGTAAGCTATGTTGGGAAAAGTGAGGCAGCTGAACACAATTATAGGGCTGTAGGGCTTGAAGAGATCGGTTAGTACAAACCCCTCATTTAACAAAGCCCAAGATGGGCTAAGAACCTCATGGTATTAGTGTCATAGCTATTAGTGGTGCAGCCTGGTCTTGAACCCTGTTCTGTATCTCCCAGTCTAGTTCTCTTTATTCATCTTCTCTGCCAAGTATGTATAAAATTATTGCTTTAGAACCCAGCAGAAATCCTGTCTGTGCCCAGCCCCTAGGGCATCACAGTCACCAGAGAGCATGCTGAGATGACCAGACGTTTTGGGAAAGGTTTGCATCATCTTACGTTTTTTAAAAGTCCCACTGGGGAGATACTGGCAGGAAATATGTAAGAAATGCACTGTCCATCAGTTGGTCCTTCTTTCCCTGTATTCCAAATGAAACTTTTAATCAAGAAATCCCTTCAGCCAACATGTGCCTAGGATTGTCAGAGCCTTGTCCCAGCCCCTGGGGCAGATACTGTAACTCTGCCTACTACAGGAGAAGTTCTGTGTGTGGAAGAACTAATTTTGCATGTGATGCAATGTAAGAAGGCCCTTCTTGTCCCAAGACCCAGGGTATTCTGGCTCCTGTGAACAGTTAGAAGTTTGCTTAGGGAAGCTTTAGGTAAGGAGACTTTAGAACCCCCCAGGATGACTCATAGCAAAACAGATATTTTTCTTCTACTTTTAGAATTTTAAAGAGCATTTTACAAAAGCAAAATTCAAAGTGTTAGACATTTCATAGGCAGTGTGAAAGAGTATTTTCCCTATTCTCTACCCTAAACACTACTGCCAGATTTTTAAAATCTTCTTTGAAAAAAAAAACAAAAATAAATTCCGTTTCATCCTATGACCCTGATGATGAGCCCCCCTGGACTCACCCTTAGTCTAGAAGAAAAATCTCAGGCCCTTCAGCTTGCTTGGCCTTTGAGACCATTAGCAGTCCCACCTTAACTTACCTTTTTAGTTTTATCTTTTGTATCTACCCTGATGAGCTCCCAAGTGTATTTCTTCCCTTTTCTGAGCTTTTACCCCAGATGACCACCTCCTATCTAACTCTCTTCCACTTCATCTGACTCCATCCAGGCTGTCTTTTCCCAGGAAACCTCTGCTGGCCCTCCCTCCCCACCTCCTGTAGCCCAGGTCTGCAGCACTTCCCATCTGCACAGCTCACCCACCCTTTCTCCTGTGCTCCCTTCAGCTGAGGTGGCATGGAGAGCTGGTTTCTCTGAACTCATGTTTTTGAAGGTAGAAACACTGTCATCTTCATTCTCCTTTACAGAGGGCATAGATTCTGGAAGAAGAGGTACCTGGTGCACAGAGCAGGAACGCTTTCCCTTTGAGCAGTCCAAGGTGGTAGTTAGTGTCTCAGGGCAAAGGGGAGATACCTATGGTCAGAGAGGCAAGGAACTGGAGGGGAAATATTTGCCCAGAAAAGAAACCTTACTCCAGGGTCCTTGTGGGATGGAATAGTATATAATATTATATAGATACTATAATATTATATAGATATATATAGATTATTAGATATATTGATAGATATATAGATAGATATAATATATAGATACAATATATATAATACATAGCTATAATATATCTATATAATATATAGAGATACTATAATATTAACATTATAGTTAAGAATATGGAGTCTGGAGTGAGGCCTGGATTAGAATCCTGGCATTGCCACGTTTACCAGCGGTGTGATCCAAGGTAAATTATCTCAAAAGCCTGGATTTCTTCAACTGTAAAATAAGGGAGATAATAGTACCTACCACATACAGGCTTTATGAGGACTAAAATGATACAATTAGTACAGTGTCATGCATGTAGGAAATACTCAATAACATGTTTGCTATTAACTGCTATTGGTGATTATCAGGAAGGGAGAAGTTGAAAGAGGAACAGATGGGACCAGGTTCTCTCCTAGCAGTGCCTCTCAGGCCATTCAGTGCTTCAGCTCTATGTGCCTTCCCACACTCAGATTGAGGTCTCAAACCAAGCATATTGAAAACCTAGAAGAGGCAGCTGCAACCTGGGCCATCACAGGTGACCAGAGGCCTCACTGGCTGCTGGATCCGGCCAGCTTGGCTGTGGTTGCTGAGTGAAGGCTAATCAGGGCTGATGCTCTAGTTCATTCTCTAACAGACAAAGCCTAGGGATAAGGTAGTCTCCTGCCACAAGTATCCAGAGGGACTCAGTCACAAACAGCTCCCACCTGTCCTACATTGAGGCCAGTGGATCCAACCCACACAACCATGAACACGCCTCTAAAAATAGCTCCGAGCAGGGTCTGTGGGACCCACCCACTGCTCTTTCAGCAAGAATTCATTTTCCCAGGAACAGAAATCCCAGACTGTCAGCATCTTCACACTGCTTCCTGGCTTCCAGCACTCTCAGTGCTTAAGCAAATTCCAACTCGAAGTCACAAAGAAAATGGAATCACTACAGGTCCCCCATGCAATTGGCTTGGGTTCTGCAG